GTTAGTTTATGTGTTACATATTTGTTTTCCGTTCATTTTTTGTACATAAATTAGGCCGTTAGTTTTCTCGTTTGAATTGTTTTACATTGTCATTTCGGGGCCTTTTATAGCTGACTGTGCGGTATGGGCTTTGCTCATTGTTGAAGGCCGTACGGTGACCTATAGTTGTTAATTTCTGTGTCATTTGGTCTCTTGTGGAGAATTGTCTCATTGGCAATCATACCACATCTTCTTTTTTATATTTATAATTAGATCAAGTACGTATCTCTCGCGGGAGAGTTACACTTATTGATGATTGGTCGGTAACGAACATTAATGTGTCCTGCTAGCTGACCAGTTCGCAATGCCTCATTACTTATTTCTAGATTAATTTTATGAATTTTTGGAAGAAGGTACATGTGTCCTCCATGTTTTGAATTATTATTTTTCTTTAAGAAATTAAACGTCTGGGAATCTTTTTTTTCTCTCCTTGCTTTATATTTAACACTTCTCTCAACATGCCAAAATTGTAATGATTTACAATAAAAAGAAAATAGTATCCTCCACACACATGGCCAAGATAACACTGATGTATAATTTCTTATTCCGTTGAATTGATAATTAGAATAGAAAAGTTCTAAGGTTCACGTATTGTCTTTTTTTTTTTAAAAGCAACTTGTTTATATACCGATTCAAAATTATGTGATCCGTGTGCAAAACATATGTTTGTTGATTAGTTCGTGTGAAAATCCGTGTGCAAATCTGAAGTTCGACATAATATGTTGCGTCATAATAGAGGGTAGTAATGCTCTTTACCGTCAGGCGTCAAACGGTCATTTTCGGCTACCGTTAGCGTCAAATTGGTTTAAATTTTACCGTGATTCGTCAAAAGATCCTTATCGTGATTCGTCAGAGGTCTCAAATAATTATCGTTACCGTCATTTTTGGAAAAAAATTAACGTGATTCGTCAAAATCAGTCGATTTTTTTTATCGTCCAAAAGAAAGTGTACATTTTATCGTCATGCATCAAAAATTACCGTTAACGTCATCTGGCAAGAATTTTTACCGTTATTCGTCATGAAGGTACCCCCATTACCACCCTCATACATTTTTTAATAGAGATGACCAGGATATTGATGAACGAACGTATCTCGACGAACGAAAAATAGGAGCGGTAATTGTATGTTATTATTTGGCTGGCATGTATTCATGATAATAGACAGAAACGCATAAAATATACCGATGTTAAAAAGGTTTTCATAATATATATGAAAGACGTTTTAAAATCTCCGTAAGTGTTACATATCTACGATACAATGTGGTTATTATTGTTGAAAGCATGATGAACTGTACAACACACCTAGGATTATTCGAGTGCACCGACGACTTTCGCTATGCTCAAACAAATATTTATGCAGGATTTGGAAGATTTGAAACAATTTATAAAATTATATGATTACTAAATTACTGTTGTCGGATCGTATGTTTGTTAAATGTTTTATATTTGGTATTCAAGTTTGAACCCTACCCCACCCCGCCAAGGGTGACTGGGGAATAGAAATATAGACTACAGGTCTTCTTCCAATCCGCAGTAAAACCTTTTCCAAAGCGGGCGTCCGTTTGGCAATGCAGGATGTACAAGTACGCAGCTACGTCCGGACAGAATGGGGACGTTAAATCCGATGCCACGTGTAGAGAAATTGTCAAACCGTTGCAACAATTATGTGAGGGGTCCTTTTACGTAGGTGGCCTTTTGCAAGGCTAAATTTCTGTCCCTATCCAATATACTCTCGTTTTGCAATGGCAATCTAAACTTACCCAACCTACAGTGGCGTAGCTAGGTCATTTTTACGTGTACGCCCGAACCTCGGCGAGGAGTCTAAGGACCTGCCGGTAGTGGGTACAAGTTGAGGGGGCAAAGCCCCCTAAAGCTATATAGTATCGAGAATGAGATACCATTCCTGTCATTAAAAAATCATCAATATTATTATACTGTACACGGAATCTAAATGATTTTTTTTATGTTTGATCTATTCATTGTGTTAATTTGGAATCTATAGCTAACGGTCATTGGTTTTAGACAAATCGTCCAAACCAATTACTTTAAGATATGAGTAAAAGGAGCCGTGGGGTCAAGCACTCTATCAACAAAAAATCGTTAATGAACTTGAAATAAATATTTTTCAGAAATGTTCAGGTGCAATATTATAATTCGCATTTTTAGGGTTCTGTAGAACCCTGGTTCTCGCCTGGGATTTTTTGCAGCAAAAAGTGAATCCATTTATCGTTCCTTTACATCAGTTAAAAAGATCAATCATTATTTAAAGATATTTTTTCCTTAATCTGGAATATTGACGTCTGCACAAGTTTCATTACCATCTATGCAGGTTTCAAAGTTAAGGAAGCTACCTCTTGAATAATCGACAGGACAGGAGTTTTGAGTGAGCAAAAAGGCAGGATGATCAAAAAAAGAAGGCAGGATGTCAATTTATGTAAAAAAAAAAGGCCGAATATACTAATAAAAAAGGCAAGACCGAATAAAGTGAAAAATGCAAAGGCAGTACAACATTTTTAATCCTACCCCCCCCCCCCCCCCCCCCCCCCCTTTTCCCCTTTTCCTCCCTAAAAGTCAAAGGGTAGCTCCCTAATCATGTGAAACAAAATCGGAGACCATTTGTTAATTTCGTCAAAAAGTACTGAAAAATGTACGATTTTTTTTAATTTTCTGCTTTTTAAATATTAATAAAAAAAGCTTCTTCCAAAGTTTGACAAAGTAATTGATGTATAACAAACATTAACCCCAAAATGTAACTACTTTTTACCTGCAAAAAGAAATTCCTTTTCTCGATAAAATACGGTGAAAATAAACATTAATTTCATCATTAAGCTCTGGATAATCTTTTGATCATAAACAGTTTCTGTGCAACTTCCGTAAAATTTCACAAAGATTTGAGAAAGTTATTGATATTTAAAAAACTTTAACAACATACTGAAACTAAACTGACGCCGCTAACGAAATTTAGGATCGATAATTTCCCTTTTCGCGACATAAATCATAGGCTGGGTTGCGTTCAATATCGTAGCGGCTACATAGGGCTACGTAGATTTATGACTATTGAACGTGTAGCTAGCCTAGCTGCTACATAGATTAAAAAATCTACGTAGCCCTGTGAAGATTTATGTAACTTACATTTTGGGATTAATGTTTGTTATACATCAATTAGTTTACTAAGCTGCTACGATATTGAACGGAACCCAGATAATGCATTTCTTTGAACAAAAGAAAAGTACACAGAACTCTCAGTAGATTCAGACTTTTAGTATTACAGAAAATGAACAAATATATATATGATACGATAACATTTGGATAAAAAATGTATGTTTCGTCCATTTTATTCGCATACAATATTACAAGCCATTAAAGAAAGAAGTACGCAGCTGATGTGCATTTAACCAGTTCTTTTTATTTTATTTAGATTTATATAATAATTTTTTTATCAAAATTCAAGTGTACGCCCGGGCGTTTTGACGTAAACGTAGCTACGCGCCTGCAGGCGATAAAAATCATCACTGGTGATGTATGTGGTAAACAGTGATAAAGGTTTCATTTTACTCAATGTGATTTACAGAGACACACGAGAACGCTTACAGGTTATAGACCTCATGACTGTGATGTATGTGGGAAAGAGTTCAGCCTATTTTGTGATTTACAGAGACACACGAGAACACATACAGGTTATAGACCTAATGACTGTGATGTATGTGGGAAAGAGTTCAGTCTACTTTGTGATTTACAGAGACACACGAGAACACACTGGTTATAGAACTCATGACTGTGGTGTATATGGGAAAGAGTTCAGTCTACTTTGTGATTTACAGAGACACACGAGAACACACTGGTTATAGAACTCATGACTGTGATGTATGTGGGAAAGAGTTCAGCCTATTTTGTGATTTACAGAGACACACTAGAACACATACAGATTATATACATAATGACTGTGATGTATGTGGGAAAGAGTTCAGTCTACTTTGTGATTTACAGAGACACACGAGAACACATACAGGTTATAGACCTCATGACTGTGGTGTATGTGGGAAAGAGTTCAGTCTACTTTGTGATTTACAGAGACACACGAGAACACATACAGATTATAGACCTAATGACTGTGATGTATGTGGGAAAGAGTTCAGTCTACTTTGTGATTTACAGAGACACACGAGAACACATACAGGTTATAGACCTCATGACTGTGATGTATGTGGGAAAGAGTTCAGCCTATTTTGTGATTTACAGAGACACACTAGAACACATACAGATTATAGACCTAATGACTGTGATGTATGTGGGAAAGAGTTCAGTCTACTTTGTGATTTACAGAGACACACGAGAACACATACAGGTTATAGACCTCATGACTGTGATGTATGTGGGAAAGAGTTCAGCCTATTTTGTAATTTACAGAGACACACGAGAACACATACAGGTTATAGACCTAATCACTGTGAAGTATGTGGGAAAGAGTTAAGTCTACTTTGTGATTTACAGAGACACACGAGAACACATACAGGTTATAGACCTCATGACTGTGATGTATGTGGGAAAGAGTTCAGCCTATTTTGTGATTTACAGAGACACACTAGAACACATACAGATTATATACATAATGACTGTGATGTATGTGGGAAAGAGTTCAGTCTACTTTGTGATTTACAGAGACACACGAGAACACATACAGGTTATAGACCTCATGACTGTGGTGTATGTGGGAAAGAGTTCAGTCTACTTTGTGATTTACAGAGACACACGAGAACACATACAGGTTATAGACCTCATGACTGTGATGTATGTGGGAAAGAGTTCAGTCTACTTTGTGATTTACAGAGACACACGAGAACACATACAGGTTATAGACCTCATGACTGTGGTGTATGTGGGAAAGAGTTCAGTCTACTTTGTGATTTACAGAGACACACGAGAACACATACAGGTTATAGACCTCATGACTGTGGTGTATGTGGGAAAGAGTTCAGTCTACTTTGTGATTTACAGAGACACACGAGAACACACTGGTTATAGAACTCATGACTGTGGTGTATATGGGAAAGAGTTCAGTCTACTTTGTGATTTACAGAGACATACGAGAACACATACAGGTTATAGACCTCATGACTGTGATGTATGTGGGAAAGAGTTCAGTCTACTTTGTGATTTACAGAGACACACGAGAACACACTGGTTATAGAACTCATGACTGTGGTGTATATGGGAAAGAGTTCAGTCTACTTTGTGATTTACAGAGACACACGAGAACACACTGGTTATAGAACTCATGACTGTGATGTATGTGGGAAAGAGTTCAGCCTATTTTGTGATTTACAGAGACACACTAGAACACATACAGATTATATACATAATGACTGTGATGTATGTGGGAAAGAGTTCAGTCTACTTTGTGATTTACAGAGACACACGAGAACACATACAGGTTATAGACCTCATGACTGTGGTGTATGTGGGAAAGAGTTCAGTCTACTTTGTGATTTACAGAGACACACGAGAACACATACAGGTTATAGACCTCATGACTGTGATGTATGTGGGAAAGAGTTCAGTCTACTTTGTGATTTACAGAGACACACGAGAACACATACAGGTTATAGACCTCATGACTGTGGTGTATGTGGGAAAGAGTTCAGTCTACTTTGTGATTTACAGAGACACACGAGAACACATACAGGTTATAGACCTCATGACTGTGGTGTATGTGGGAAAGAGTTCAGTCTACTTTGTGATTTACAGAGACACACGAGAACACACTGGTTATAGAACTCATGACTGTGGTGTATATGGGAAAGAGTTCAGTCTACTTTGTGATTTACAGAGACATACGAGAACACATACAGGTTATAGACCTCATGACTGTGATGTATGTGGGAAAGAGTTCAGTCTACTTTGTGATTTACAGAGACACACGAGAACACACTGGTTATAGAACTCATGACTGTGGTGTATATGGGAAAGAGTTCAGTCTACTTTGTGATTTACAGAGACACACGAGAACACACTGGTTATAGAACTCATGACTGTGGTGTATATGGGAAAGAGTTCAGTCTACTTTGTGATTTACAGAGACATACGAGAACACATACAGGTTATAGACCTCATGACTGTGGTATATGTGGGAAAGGGTTCAGTCTACCTTGTCATGTTTGTGATTTACAGAGACACACGAGAACACATACAGGTTATAGACCTCATTACTGGGATGTATGTGGGAAAGAGTTCAGTCTACTTTGTGATTTACAGAGACCCACGCGAACACATACAGGTTAGAGACCTCATTACTGTGATGTATGTGGGAATGGGTTTAGTCATCTTATTGATTTAAAGAGGTATATGAAAATAAATACAGGCAAAACATGTAAACTCACATTTGTCAGTTTGTGATGTACATTTTTGTAGCAAACAAATGTATGAAAATACATACAGGCAATTTACCTTATGACTGAAATGTATGTGGTACAGGGTTTTGTTAGCATTGTAATTTACATATTGACATGAAAACATATTAATCTCATGACTGTTGTGTATGTGGTAAAGGGTATAGCTAGCTCAGAAATGTCAAGAGACACATGAGAACACATACAGGTGATTAATCTCTTGACTGTATGTGGTAAAGGTTTTAATCAGCATATTGACCCAAAGAGACACATGAATTGGAATACATAATGGGGATAAAACTCTGAAGTGAGATGTTTGAGGTTGGAGGTTCAATATGAGTGATAATCTACATACTTAAATCTTTAGAACACATACTAGTAAATAAGTGATAATTTACGTAAACACACACATGAGAACCCATACTAGTGATAAGTGATAATTTACGTAGACACATGAGAACACATACTAGAAAATAAGTGATAATTTACGTATAGACACATGTACGAGAAATCATATTAGTGATAACTTACATAGACATATGAGAACACATATTAGTGATAATTTATATAGACACATGAGAACACATACAGGTGATTAATCTCTTGACTGTTTGTGGTAGAGGTTTAAGTCAGCATGTTTACTTAATACACATAAAGGGGATAAAACTCTGAAATGAGATGTTTGAGGTTGGGGGTTCAATATGAGTGATAATCTACTTACTAAAAACATGAGAACACATACTAGTAAATAAGTGATAACATGGATAATTTACATAGACAGACGAGAACACATACTAGTAAATAAGTGATAACATGTATAATTTACAAATACATATATGTTTTTATGCCCCATTGATGGGCATTATGTTTTCTGGTCTGTGCGTCCGTCCGTTTGTTCGTCCGTCCGTCCCGCTTCATGTTAACGCTTTTGGTCAAGGTAGTTTTTGATGATGTTGAAGTTTGACCACAATTTCACGGTCCACTGAACATAGAAAGTGATAGTGCGATTGGGGCATCCGTGTACTATGGACACATTCTTGTTTGATATCTATTCCGACAGACTGATCAGGATTTTTCATGCAAAATATCCGTAAACCAACAAATGAAAAAAACCTAAGCCATATTGATCAAGAGGAAGAACATATGAGGGTCTTGAAAAAAGTGTGTGTGTGTGGGGGGGGGGGGGGGGACTTTCAACACTTCATCGCTATTTTTGTTATATATTTTCTCTCCATTCTTTATTTATATTGTCCATTATTCTCTATCGTTTGTTATTTAGCAACCTATTATTCTATATTCTTTATTGCCTTTCTTCCTCTTGATCCATATGGCCAGGTTTTTTTCATTTGTTGGTTTACGAATATGTTGCATGAAAAATCCGGGTCAGTCGGTCGGAATAGAACATACATGTATTTTTGAAATGCATAAAAATAATTGTGTACTTAAGCTTTATTAAAATATTTACACTCTCCTTTTGTCATAAGTTCTTAAACTTTAACACGGTGGGTAAGGTTGTCCTGCGAGAGAATGTTCTGTGCTGGTGATTCGGTCCTGACTGGTGCTGGTGATCATTAAAAATATGTAAACAAAGACGAAAATGTCGAATTTTGACGTTTTCTCGCATAAAAAATGGAAGGAAACAGTTGAGATGTTTTAATTTTGTTTCTTATGGGTTCATAGGCAAACAATTACAAATGTGACCCTCTAAACTGTTTCAGTAAGCGTAACACAAAAGTGCTCATTTTTAGAAAATCTAGAACTGAAAAAATAAAACAAAAATGCTCCTGGAGTCCGCTTTCTATACCCAAATCCACGACAAAATTGTTTTGCGAAAAACCTGTGCAATTTATTAAAATTATGCATTTTCTCAGTTTAGACATGTCCTGATTCTGTGCTGGTGGGTCCTGTCATTGTGCTGGTGGGTCCTGTCATTGTGCTGGTGGGTCCTGTCATTGTGCTGGTGGGTCCTGATACGGTGCTGGTGATTCTGGGTAAACAGTTGGTTATATTTGAAACAAACGTTACAGAATCTATAAAATTGGGCAGATAATTGTATTCAATCGGATTTGTGACTCCTTTTTTTACTTTTGTGCATCCATTAGGCTGTTTAATAAGCGTTTTCAAATAATCGTAACGTATATTACATAAAAGGGCAACATCTTCCGTCCAATATCAGATGAAAATATATCTAATTAGAATAGTTTTATTTAAGATATTAAATGCCCTTAAATTGATGATTCTCTACATAATATGCTAACTTAAACAGTTTGAAAAAGGTGCTTAAGGTTAAGCGACATGTATATTATAACGACAATAAACGTTTGACTGGTTTATTTCAGTTAAATATACGAGGTTGCATGATCTTACTACTGGTGCCTCTAATTTATTCCTTAATATATACACTGTCTCCAATACATTTCGACTGGATAAAAAAAAAACGACCTAGACTTGCTTTTCATACATGACTGATAAAAACTTACTAGAATGGAACAAGATGTGAACAATTGCAAGTCAAAATATGACCTTCAACAACGAGCAAAAACCATAACGAATACTACATGTAGCTATAAAAATCACGGTAAACGATTAAAAATGAAGACCTTCGGCCTGATTTAAAGTACAACTTTGAACAAAAAACAAACATGACAGATAGCATGCATCGGCAACCACTGGTTTTGGGCACTCGTGACAGGGCTTAACATGTTTGTTTGCGCTCCACACCCCACCCAACCCCTCCTCCTTTCCCCCTTCATTGGTACAGTGGTGTAACAACACAACACTTAGCACACAAAATAATAAAATAATTTCATAAAGACACAAATTATTGAACCACGAGTACTCGCAGCTACTGAAAGCTTGTTCAACTAATAGATAAACCATGTTCTCTTAGATTAAAATCTCAATCGGTACACATCAAACAAATTTCGCATTACTTAAGTTTACATTTTAATTTTTGTTTTAGCAAAACTTTAAAACTGTGCAGTGAATCTTGTGCACACAACAGTTATTGTCATAAATATGTATACATCAGACATTATAAACATGATAAAGGCATGTGGAAGATACTAAGTAGTATTTTACAGTTCAATTTATTAATCATAAAGGGATGGAGATTGCATGGAGGTTAACATATGATAAGAAGAAATTGATAGTATTTTTGGCGAAAGACTTTAAATCTTCTTTGCATTAAATTCTGAAAGTTTTCTTGTTGCCGTAAATGGTAAAATCCTTAACAAAATCTCAATAATTTGTTGGAATGAATAAAGGTTTTAAATCAAATTTTCATGGACTTTAATCCACTTTTAGCTCCCACCCTGACGAGCCATGTGAGCTGTCGGTATCCTGTTGCACCTACCGCCCGTAAACTTTCACATTTCCATCTTTTTACCCAATTCATACGTGACAGGATTATTATCCTAGTAACCGGTGTTACCAATGTATCGAACATTTTAAGTTAAAAAATTCCACAATACTATATTCATTTTGTGCATCAATTTGTTTATACAAATCAAAACTGCAAAAACTTCGAATACAAGAGATTATTAACTGTCGATTTCAAGATCTATGCATAGTATTCATTTCAGATGACATGGATTTCACACCCTGGTGACCCTGCTTCCCTTCATATATTCATATTTATCGTCCTTCCCTACGCCTATATCACCCTGCTCAGTCGCTCCGTAATTCTCGTATCACGGCTTTGAGACGAGAGCAGGCATTATCAACGACGTCACAATGTCTGAGGAGAAGTTATCAGCGACGTCACAATATGAAAGGAGACGTTATCAAGCTTGCTTTCTTCAAGCGTAAAACTGTCTTAAGGAGGGGGAAAAGACCAGTTATAGAACGATAAACAGATAATCGGGTTTTCTTCGTATAGATATCGTAAAATATCTGCCGCTCGACACAATGTGAAGCTTTTAACCATGCTAACTGCTTGAACTTTTGCGATATAAACTATACACTTGAATATATTTTAACAAACAGTGGTCATGTTTGTTGGTGAATATTGTTTTTCCTAGATTCACTCATGAAAATTCATTTGGTAACATTTGGTCAAGCAATTTCAGAGAAGATTTTTTTTAATTACGGACGCCAAGTCAATAGCACACACGGCCCCTTGATACAGGTGAGTTTAGAGCGAAACGGGTTGATAACCAGATGAAATTAAACCAAGTTTTGTAAAGTTTGTATATTTGGATTGTTTAAAACTGTTTTTATGGCTTTTAAAAGTTAAATGTAGGTGTATAATTTAAGATTTTTTGCATCTTATATACTTGTTTATACTCAATTGGCAGTATGAAGCTACGAGATATTGTAATTTTTGCACATTTAACATAACAGCCGATTTCGGTAGGTGCAAATACTACTGGGTTTTTAAGATGCATAAGCATAAATTCAACTGAAAAAAAACATCTAGGTTATCTAGTCTTTATTCTCTGACAAATTCTAGTCTGCCCTTCCATGAAATATTTTAATATTTTTTTAATGTTTTATTGAACTTTCGAAAATTACCCCTGACAACCGATCAGACAATAATTTTATGTTG